AACCCGAGCAACCTTGGCGCTTATCATTTGGATATGGTTTGACAACTTTTGACTTCACAAACTCCAAAGAGGTGCAATCTGCAAAGGCACCTGTTCACGAATCTGCACACTTTTTTTGTCCTCCGTGCCATCTCTCAAAATAGACAACTTTTCCCATGCCATCTTTGCTCCATTCTCTTCTTGACTCATTGAAGTAACATTATGAATAAATTCGGGCTCAAAACTCTTTGTTGGTTCTTGTGCATTAACAAGCTTTTGAAGGTGCAGTGTGAAAGCCTCTTGAATCTTCCTTGCCTTTCTTGTAATAATTGCTCCTTTGATATATGTAATTGGTCACAAATGGATTCGTATCATGGGGGATCTATAAAAGTAACAAGATGAAGCTGTCTCATTATCAATCCCTAAAAGGAGGAATCACTTTAGATGCCATCGCAAAGGAGCATAATTAGCATAAGGTTAACGGGCATATCTCGAATGCCACGATAATGAATGCTTGCAAAGTAACTAGAACACGCAACCAAAGATAAAGCGCTGGTTACAACTAGTGCCACATTGAAGATTTGAAGATGAAAGAACGTCCTTTTAAAAAAATGTGAGACAACGTATGTCCTCTTTGAACGAGGGCATGCAGCACCATGTACTGCCAAAAGTTTATGGCTTCCTCGGCAAAGGCAAAGCCTAGTGAAGGAAGTGGGGCCATTGTCATCGACTAAAAACGAAACTTTCCGCATCAAAAGGTCAGTTGAGTCGCAAAAGGGTTGAGTCAGGAAACAAACCCTGCACTACTGAGCACAACGGTAACAAGGCCAAGCCCTCCTGCATGTCTCGTTCCAATGACAGCCAGCGAACAGGGTATTGATGCTTTGTACCCAAAACAATAGGCACCTCTAGAGAGCTCTCAAAAAGTCGTCGAGCGCTCTACCTAAGCAATAGGGCTAGACAGAGGATGTCTATGGTCCTTGCATAACCTTTGCTAGACCTATATAAGAAAACGAAAATCCTGAATGGAAGTAAGCCACATTTCCCTACACATCTTCTTGTTCTGCACCATACCTGCTTGCACCTACTTGAGTTCAAACTTAAAGCACTAGAGTTTATTTGACAAAGCATCACATCAGTGCAAGATATTTGTGTGTAAAGACATCAAGCTTGTAGAGATGAATGCGTACGTTGCACTCAAGTGGTACCTATTAGATATCACCAAGAAATCGGGATCAACAAGTATATTATTTTATTTAAATTATAAAATTAAAAAACGAAAGAAAATTGGTGAAAGAAAATATATCAATAGGAATAAAGGTAAAAAGAATGTAATGAGTATATGCATTCAACAAGAGAGAATCTTGTAAACCGATGTTTCAAAACGGCTTCAAAAACACCTTGTATGTTAGGGAATCTTACATTCCTATAAAACAAAAGTGGGAATGTAGATGCCTCTCCATTTGATTCTTGGACTACAACGAAATAAACGGCCCTTTGGGGATTAAATAAAAATGTCAATTTTGAAACTTTAAAAGATAAATAGAAAGTAATACAAACTTTCAAGATTAAAGAAATATTTTGCCTTTGTTTAATCATGTTACGAGCTACCAAAGCGAGCACAGTTAAGCGGTAATTAACATATACTTCCAATCATGAGATTGTGAGTTCAAATCTCTTCCCCAACATGTTGTACTTAAAAAAAGAATAAGCATATTAGGAGCCTGAAACTAAACACTTATTTATAACATTTTAAGACTCGTTTTCCAACGTTTCTGTATGTTATTTCTCTTTGAGAAATAGACATGCTGGATAACTTTTGAGAAACGTTTTAAAAAAAGAGGTATAAATTTGGAAAACTATAAATAGTAGTTTTATTTTTCGATTTCTTTTTCTTGGTCTTATATTAAATGATATATACTGTACAACTTTAATCAAATTTGATATTTAGCTCTATTGGTGTGTAGGTACGCGTTGGCCCAAATCTCATTAATTAGTTTCAAAATATTAATTATTTTTTACGTATTATTATTTTTAAATATTCCTATTTTTTATAAAATATATTTGTTTCGTTTTTTGATAAAATATTTTCTGTTTTTTTTATATATTTTTCCATTAGTTTTTTACAAAATATATATTTATTGTAATTAAAAATATTTAGAAATTTATTATTTATGTAACACTAATAATTTAGTCGATATCATTTAAGGCGAATGGTTTGAGTGAGAGACCATATTGCATATCAATCTGGGTATTATTTGAAGGATACATATCATTATTTCTTTTAATTTTACATCTGGGACTTGAATTTTTGTAGAAATTATAAACATTTTGACCATGTTTATTTATTATAGTATATGTGATATCTTTTTAATATCTAGTAAATTTTATTTTCACTAAAAATAAAAACAAGCCAATCTAAGTAAAGGTAGGTATCACCAAGGTGTTGTGAGTTTAAATTCTCACCCTTACAAATTGTTGTACTAAAAAAACTAAAAATAAAAAGAAGAAACACGAAAGAGTTATCAAACATATTTTTGTTTCTGTTTCTTTTCTTTCAGAATAAAAAAAACATAAATGATTACCCAATGTAATCCTGCGTCCAATTTTGAAAAAGTTAGAAACAACAAAGAAAAAGGAAAAAAATCAAACGAGCTTTTATATTCTATATTGGTACCTACACTATTATATTTATAATTCAATAACTTCTGTATTTAAAAAAATTGTCACTAATGTATTCTTTTTTAAATTATTTAATAGAAACTTGGCATGTTTTTGTTCTTTTTTTTTTTCAGTAAATTTTCGTTTATCATTCATTCACAAACGCGAACATAAACAACCAGTATTTACCTGTTTTTTTTTGTTTTTTCTCTTAATCTTCTCCCTCCATCGAAATAGTCAATAAGGTGGCTTCCCTCTCCCGCCTGCTGCGGGTAATCTAACATCCATAATTTTCCACGTGGGTTAATTTTTAATTTACGCTGCAAAAAGGTTGTTGTACATCTTCAACTCTTTCAGTTGCAAATTACCGATACAACGCAAGACCATAACCGAGAGATCCCCTAAATTTATTTAGTTAACGAACTATCCATGATAATTTTTCTATTTTTATTGATGGATGGCACAACCTATCCATTTTCATTCTTCCACCTCCCTGTTAGAGTTAGCCCACACGTTATGTCTCTGTAAAATCAGTGTTTCGAGGCAGACTCAATGAGAACGACCCTTCCCCACCATCCTCTAGTATGGGCTTCTTTTCCTTCTTCTACCTTCTCCTTTTTATCACATCTTCCGTCGATGCGGCAGGACGAACAGTGCTGTCTGCCACTAGCACGTCGCCTGCAAGTGGAACACCGTCGTCCCAGGATCAAACATGGTGTGTAGCCAAAGAGGACGTTGGAGGCGATAAGCTCCAAGCCGCGTTGGAGTATGCCTGTGGGGACGGAGGCGCTGATTGTGATCCAATCCAACCAGGTTCCGCGTGCTTCAAACCTAATACAGTCATGGCCCACGCTTCATACGCTTTTAACAGCTACTACCAGAAGAATGGTCGTGCTGCAGGGTCTTGCGATTTTGGTGGAGCTGCTTATGTCGTTCATCAACCTCCTCGTAAGTACCATAAAGTTTTCTTATCTCTTTATTTTTTTAATATATATTTTAAAATATGATTTGGCTAAACGGTGTCATTTTGTGATGTAGAGTATGGTGCATGCAAATTTCCTATAGAGACGTCACCGATTACTGGAACACCGCCCGACAGTGAGACGTCACCCATGAGTGGGATGCCGCCCAACAGTGTGACGCCCCCAATTAGTGGGGCATCGCCCAGTGGTGGGACGCCGCCATCTCAGGATCAATCATGGTGTGTGGCCAAACAAAATGCTGCATCGGACAAGCTCCAAGCAGGGTTGGAGTTTGCATGTGGTCCAGGAGAGGCCGATTGTAGTGCAATCCAGCCAGGGTCCACGTGTTACAATCCTAATTCACTTGAGGCCCACGCTTCATACGCTTTCAACAGCTATTACCAGAAGATGGCTCATGCCCCTGGTTCGTGCAATTTTGAAGGAGCTGCTTACATCGTCAATCAACCTCCCGGTAAGTCCAATTAGAATTTCAATCTCTCTTTATTTTGTTCTTTCAATTTTATTATATATTTGTTCAAGTTGATTTGGCTTGATGGTATCATTTTGCGACGTAGAGTATGGTCAATGTGTATTTCCTACGGGGACATCGCCCACTAGTGGGACGCAGCCTGAAAATGGAACCGTGCCAGCTAGTGGGACATCGCCTAGTAGTGGGACACCGCCCAACAGTGAAACGCCGTCAGCTGAAGGTCAGTTATGGTGTGTGGCGAAAGCAAATGCTGACCCAGGAAAGCTCAGGACAGGGATGGAATTTGCGTGTGGGGAAGGAGAGGCTGATTGTGATCCGATCCAGCCGGGCGGCACATGTTACGAACCTAATGTGATTGTGGCCCATGCTTCATACGCTTTCAACAACTATTATCAGAAGAAGGCTCATGCCCCTGGCTCATGCGATTTTGATGGAACTGCTTACGTCGTTGATCAAGTCCCTCGTCAGTACTATCAAATTTTCAATCTTGTCGTACGTTCTTTTGATTATATCTTTTTTTTAATGATTTGGCTGAACCGTGTCATTTTTCTATGTAGAGTTTGGTGATTGCATATTAAGTACGCAGACAAGTGGGACGTGGCACAACAATGGAACACTGCCGAATGCTGGGACGTCGTTGCCTAAGGAACAAACGTGGTGTGTGGCAAACGGGGAAGCTGGGGTGGACATACTCACAGCACTACTAAAGTTTGGATGTTGGAAGGGATGGGCCGATTGTAGTTTGATCCAACAGGGTTCCTCGTGTTACAATGATAATTCCCTTGTTGCCCAGACTTCGTACGTTTTCAACGGTTATTATCAGAAGAAGGCTCGTGCTGATGGCTCCTGCAGTTTTGCAGGAGCTGCTTACATTACTAGTCAACGTCCCCGTAAGTACCATCCAAAATTTTTTTCTTTATTTTTATTTTTTCTAATAATATTTATTTGAAAATGATTTGGTGGAACATGTCGTTTTGCGATGTAGAGTATGGTGACTGCGAATTCACTACAACATCCGGTAGCACGCCAGCGCCAGCGAGTGGGGCCTGGTTTTCCCAGGGTCGAACGTGGTGCTTGGCAAGTAAGAATGCTGGGGAGGAGATACTCCTATCATGGATAAAATATTTATGTGAAGGGGGATTGGCCGATTGCAGACAGATCCAAGAGGATGGATATTGTTACGATAAAAATTCAACCATAACCCACGCTTCTTACGTTTTCAACAGCTATTACGAGAAGAAGGGTCATGCCCCTGGCACGTGTGATTTTGGAGAAGCTGCTTACATTATCACTCAACCTCCACGTAAGCACAATCCAAATTGCGGCGTCTCTATTGTGGTTTTTTTAATGAATATCTATTTGCGAAAATTATTTTGTTGAATGATTTTTTTTTAATGAAGAATATGGAGAATGCCAATTTACTCCGGGGATGCTACCTAGTAATGAAACGACATGGTGCGTGGCTAAAAAAAATCCTGAAGGTGCTGATGAGTGGAGGATTCAGAAAGGCTTGAAGTATGCATGTGGGGAAGGAAGGGCTGATTGTGCTCCTATCCWGCTGGGTGGTACGTGTTATAATCCTAATACGCTTGAGGCCCACGCTTCCTACGCTTTTAACAGCTATTACCAGATGAGGGCTCGTGATGCTAGTGCATGCAATTTCAACGGAGTTGGTCAAATCGTCAACGAAGCTCCTCGTAATACCATCCAAATTTTAATCTCTATTGTTATTTAATTCCTTATAATATTTAGTTTGAAAATGAGTTGACTAACCATTGTTGTTTTATGATGCAGGGTATGGAGAATGCCAATTCCCTACCTATTATACTACAGGCAGCTAAAGATATTGGTCCCCATAACAAATATTTTATTTATATTTAGGGATATGGTTACTTTTTATTTGGAGATGTAATGGTTAAAATTTTGTTTATCTTWTTAGTTCTTATATAATATATATATGTTTTTTATGAAATAAATTAATTGTTTGTAATACTTAAATATTTGTTATAACAGTTATAGTTGTGAGGTTTTGGTTCCGTTAGAGAAATATTGGTTGCCACATTTTGACCAAGCATGCATCAAAAAGTATTTAGCCATCTTAATGAGGTGTAAAACTGAACACGTCTCACAACTTAGAAGATTACTAATAACTTGGAAGAAATGCTCAGCCGACCTATATTTTTTACATTGACCAACATTCTATGGTCATACCAGTCAAAACTTTTGCGGTCCTTAAATCATTTTCTTAATAAAACATTTCACATTGTCTGGACACTTATCTAACTAGTTTACTGACTCAAGCAAACTCCCAACAATCGTGCATCCCAACCCATAAAGGAGGGAATKTTGCTCGTCCCTCATACTACAAGGTGGCTAGCACCTTTGTTGCCAAAGCTAATGCCTATCTTAATGCTACAAATGTTTGAACTGCTGCTATCTACCACCCTCCACTATTGGCCGAACWGTTGTTGGCAAAATTGCAGCCAATGGTCATCCTACTGCTATTACASGACCTGCRGCCAACAATCGTCCAATCCTCAACGAGGTGTCTATTCCAGAATGAAAATTTCATTGCATATGCAGAACTCCAGCCTCTAGGAGACCCTTATCGCACAAGGGGAAGCCAGTGAGTTCATATAGGATGGAACACAGACTGTCATGTCGATCTGAGCATTGTGGGGAACATGATAGTCAAAATGGTTGAAATGAAGTCTCGAACGGAATCAATGGAAAAAGAATGAAAGATGTTTGCATYGTCAATATTACACCACCCGAGGAAGGGTAAGGCTCCTATGTACCCTTCCACCCAAGGAGATAAATATGCCCTGCACCCACCAACTTGARGAATGCATATTGGCACCCGTTCAAGGAATAATCCATGATCGAGCACGGAAAGCCTATAYAATCAACCTCAACCTCAAGCAAATCGGACCTCTCAAAATCGCCTCATAAAGAGAACGATCGTTTCCCCTGAGTTCAGCTTACCTGCAACCTATGTGATGATCCCTATTGATGGTGATCTCTGCGATGTTCTCAACGATATATCTTGTCGCCAATCACCGCCTCATGTAAAGGATTGGACCAATGAGMTAGAAGACCTTAGACTTACACTTAACAATTGGGCGAGGACGAAGAGCTTGGAAATTAATAGTCAACGGATTGCTTTAGGGCCTGACCGATACATCTGATCCAAAGTTAACTAGATGACATATAAGTTCGAAAAAGAGATAGACGACTTGAAAAAATAAATTTGAAGGGAAACCTACCCCTGACGACAAGGACGAGGAACTTGAGAAACCCCATTTTGTTCAAGAAATACTTGATGCCAACATCCTAAGTAATTTCAAGACGTCAAAGTTCAAGACATACAACAGCTCGTGCGACTCAGTCTACCATGATGAAATTTTTTAACGCTGGATGGACATACAAGCCAACGGTGATGCAATGAAGTGTCAAGCCTTACAAATTTCATTGGGACGGTAAGCTTTGCTATTGCATAGACCATTTATGTCGAAGTTTATCTCTATATGTCGAGGTTCATAACTAAGTTCTTTGGTCGACATCAATTAAAGCCACCAACACTTTAGTTGCTCACATTCTGTCAGAAGGAGAAAGAGTCATTGAAGGACTATGTCAGCCGCTTCAAGCAGGAGGRCGAGAGTGTTATGCTGCAGCATTCAAAAGATCGGCCACATSCATGGTTATCGCTAGACCCCAACGAATCCAAATTTTGCTTAAGGAAGATTCCTCCAATAAGGATTSAGAAACGCGAACCAAAAAATTCAAATTTGTACTTTTCCTACCTAGATAAAAAKGTTASCATCAGCACCAATTTTTGGGCCAATTTTTGGACACGTGGCGACTTTTCATTTGTAGAGGGAATATGACCGTTGCGGAAGACGTTTCGACCTGCCAGGTTGTCGKAGCACTCAATTGTTTCGCCGTTGCGTATCTCGAGGAGATCCCATGCGCTCGTTGATTACACGTGTACGGCGCAGAGGTTTTTCCGATCAGCTATAAATAGTCCCGAAACTTCAGGTCAAACCTTACATTTCCTGAATTTATGGAGTTCGATCTGAAACCARCTCGAACCCTTTCTCTAGGTCAGTCACTTTTCCTTGCTCTTACTCTTCATTCAAACATGGTAGTTTTCTTGTCTTCCYCCTCCAGTAGAGATAGCCTGGGTAGTGTAGGTCGAACGATAAGTAGTTCGTCCCATAAACCAAGTGACTCTGGGGAGGTCTTAGCTCGTAGGTTAGAATCCGAGCTTGAAGAAATAGAGAACTTTAGGTTCTCAGATGACGGAGAGGATAGTGATACCTCCACCTCGGGCYAGGGTCTGGAGTACCCTTCTAGGATGCCCGAGCATTATCTTGGACCCCTTCGTAGGGGGTTTAACATTCCGAATGACATCCTCCTTAGGATTCCGGAGGAAGGGGAAAGAGCTGACAATCCCCCAGAGGGATGGGTCACTTTTTATCTCAAGATGTTTGAGTACGGTCTCAGGCTTCCCCTTCATCCTTTMGCCCAGGAGTTCTTAAACCGAACTRGACTRGCTCCTACTCAAGTGGCCCCCAATGGGTGAGGTGTCATTTTTGCTTTAGCCATTCTTTTTTGGTTGCGAGCTCRGGATGAGGACGAGGCCGAGCTACTAAGTGTTGATCAGCTYCTTGGATGTTTTGAGGCCAAGAGGATAGCCAAAAAACCTGGTCGRTACTATATGTGCGCAAGGAAGGGCGCGGGTGGTATAGTCAAGGGGCCGACCTCCATCAAAGGATGGGTAGGCAAGTGGTTCTTTGCCTCTGGAGAGTGGTTGGCAAAKGACGAATCAGGTCGTCCCTTCTTTGATGTGYCTKCTAGGTTTGGGAACCTAGGTATGAAGTCTTTCTTATTTTCTTTTTCTTTTCATTTCTTGGTATTCACATCTAACTCGAACTTTTGTTTATTTCGTGCAGTATCAATCAAGCCGATTCCCGAGCTCGATCAAGCCACTTTTGACACCCTCAAATTCTACAAGGACAACTTCCCAAGGGGCCGGAAGATCGGGACCTTAGTAACCGACAAGCTGCTGCTGRAATCAGGGSTACTGGACTACAATCCTTTAGTTCGTCCGATTGAAGCTTCCASGCCAAACTCTGAGCTCGGTAAGCCGTGTTCGATCTCAACTTCAATTTTAGCTTCAAGTTTTTTCTTCTAACATTTCATTTTATTCGAATTGCAGCCATGGTGTGTGGATTTACGAGCAGCGTGAAACGTAAGTCTAAGGGTCGTGCTCACGCCCTTAAGACAGTTCAGAACTCTGATCCTTCTACCTCTGCTGTGGGTCAGRGTGCAGCTCAGGACCAGGCGGGTCCATCTTCTGAAGTTCCGACTCCAGTGATCGAGTTGGATTCTACTGGGGAACGCTCCAGGGAGAAGCGCTCGAGGAGCGAGTCCGAGGCATTGGACGTGTCGCCTCTTCGCGAGGTAAGAGAGGGCTCTCCTCTGAAGAGGAGGAAGAAAAAGAAGAAAGCCACCTCATCCTCGGAGGTTG